ATTGAAACCATCTACCGTTTACACATACAATAGAGATTATCATCTGTGAATTTACAATGTTGGTTCCATTTTGGGCTGCTCCATATTTTAGGAGGCATAGAAAATTTTCTGTGGCTGTTTATCTGCGTGTAAGGGAGAGGACGAAGACGGAAATAGCAACGGCAACTACGGCGACGACGTCGACGACGACGACGACGACGGCGGCGACAAATTGTTCTCTGCCAGAAAAATTTCGCTGAATCTTGCCGTCGTTTAATTTTCAGTAAGTTTTTTTTGCCATTTTCGACAACTTTTTTATATCAGGGGACATTGATGGTTACGCTTTCGTCGTCTTCGTCTGCAGCCATTGCAAAACTCTCTGTTCACAGTTGCTGAAAAACGTAATGGGTGGCGAAGAACGGAAGTGGAAATTGCTTCTTTTAAAATTAATATTTAACTTGCCAAGAAAGTTTTTTTGTTATAACTGTCACTGTTTTGAAGATACCTGTTTAATTTTTAAAACTTTTAAACTTCAATAATATTCACATTGTAAATTTCTTATCATTCTTTTCTTTCTTTTTTGAACACTAACTTTACAACACTGCTTGCAACAGTAGAACAGTGATGCAAAAAAAAAAAAACTTTTTCTAAATGTTTAGGCTAGTTTACTGAGAAGGATTATCGGGGTGATTGTGGGTTGAATGGGTTTTTACTTCAAAAAAAACCTTATAGTTTTGTATGTCTGATATGGTTTTTTGATTGTTTTGCCAAGAAAAAAGATGCAGATTGAAAACTGAAGTTGATAGGACAGTTTTTATGGGAGTGAAAGAGAAAATTGCGCAGAGAATTTTAGATTGGAAATAAAAAAACAGACAAAGAGGAATTTTTTTAGGTCCGTAATTTGAGAAAAGATTCCGAGTTTAAGGGAAGGTAGGAGACCTTAAAGTGAATGTTGTTTTAAATATTTTTCCTTTGCTCTCATTATGTCATTATTGGAATTTACACAACTGCACATTTTTGGTTGTCATATCGTTCCTTACTGACATAATCTATTGCAATTTCATTAAATTTTCGTCTGATGGAAAAAAAAGATGAGAATTTTCTTCTTTGTTGATAAAGTTTTTGTTTTTGTTTTTTCACTCTTCACACTTTACTGGATTTTTTTATTTTTTCATCTTCTCTTCACCTTTTTACTGTACTACTGGTTAAACCAATAATTAAGCAACGTCACAAGAGAAGTTTCTTTGAAAGAGTAAGAGAAGTTTAAATAACGTTAAACTGTTGAATTTCCATTAGAGGTTAGTGGTGTACATCAGTTAAGATTGTTTATGGCATTAGAACCATTGAAGATTGTTTAAATTTGACCACTGTTTTAATCTGCTGTTAATGCATCACTGCTTGAAATGAATGGGAAACTGTTGAAGAGTTGTTACTGCGAATTACGGTCCTTGCTTTAGATGCCACTTATTGCATAGGTTCATTTTGGATTAAGTTGTTGGTCAATGTTGTAGGCTTATTATTAGTTTTCGATTAACGTATCTGCTGCTGACAGAACTGAGTTACCGCTGCAGTTTTCAGGTTTAACAGATATCCAGAAACGTATAGAAACCGAAACTGTTGACAAAATCAAATACTGGTTTCAGTGTATTATTCTATCGTGCAAAACTGTTTTTAACGGACGTTAGTGGTCAAGCTTGTTAACAGTCCAAATGTCAACAGTGGAATAATCACAACTGTACTGTCTTTGTGTATATTAAGGTAATCGAAGTGGTCATGTCATAATTTTCTACATTTACAATTGGTATTTTGTCTTAATCAGTTTACAGTTATTCTGGACAAGAATAGATTCGAAAAGAATGATAGACTTGAAAAAGTTATAAGAGATTAGCGTAGAGCAGAATTTAAAAACGTTAAACATCTTTATATTCAGGTGCAGTAAAGTGAGAAGTAATGAACTTGTTCACCCACTGAAATAACCATTTTTAGTGGCTTTTTGATTTTGCATTAACAGTCAGAAATTAAAGATGCCTATAAAAATAAGAATGAGTGAATGATTTTAGTCGTCTGTTTGACTTTTAGTCTGTATATGTATATATACATTTATATTTATTTATTGATATTTATATAGTAATTTCGAGAGAGAATTACTCAAAGAAAAAAAATTAGTTTTTTTTTTTTTTTGAAGGAAATTTATTTTTTTTGCCAAAACAAGTCAGTTTCTGGAATAAAGCAGTTCAACAAATTTCCCTTATTGTTTTTGTACCTGAATTAACTGTGTCGACTTAATTGAAAAGATTTTCCGACTGGACTGCCGGACAAAACCCCCTCTAAAAATTTTTTGAAATTATTTCATTTATCCAATAAAAGGTCAGCAAAAATTGCACATTTTTTTTTTGATTGGCAATCATTATTAATTTTAAAAACATTAGTACTGTTTACACCTCCAATTTGCAGCAAATGCTGGTAGAAGAAATTTATGAGGGAGGACACGTTGGTTTAAAAACAGCATTGATCGTTTTATCGTATGGTCTGCTACTCGTTGCTTTTGTCTTATTTTGTTTTGGTATCCACGGCTTCCGAATTGCTTATGGTCGATTTGGCTTTGAATCGGTGATTACTGTGGTCAGTAAGTTTATCAGCAAATGAATGTACCAAAATCACAGTAAAAGCGACATTTCTGAAAGCATTCAATACAGATTTTTTGAAAGAAGGTTTAAAAACTTTTTCATTTGCTGTGCTGTTTTATAGTATTCATTAGCTTTTACATGCCGTCCGTAAATCACAGTTGTTTTCATTTTGGTACTTGCACTTTCGTTTTGCATGGGGATTTCAAACACAAACTAAGGCTTGTTGTTCGGCAAGATTATTTTACCTTATCCTTTTTCTGTCACTATCACGGTGACGGTAAAAAAAATCTTATAAGGAATAATGTAAAGTTGGTGTCTCGGGAATTTGCAGCTCCTGCATTAACATCGTATTTTTTTTAGACCCACTTGAAAGATTGCTGATGATTTTTTAACGGTTATAAATTAATGTCACAAATATTCTTTTGTTGCATTTTTCAATTGATCTTTCACTAAAAAAATGACATGAAGAAAGCAGCACATGAATATCCTAAACATTTGACAAAAACCAAAGTTAGTCCAAACCTTCAGCTGGAAACCGCTGTTTACTCTTATTTTACCCTAATTTCTCAAAAAATCTTTAAAAATTGAAATGACTTAAGAGGGACCGCTTCCTCCGTATCAGATCGCTAATAAGTCCTTCGTCTAATAGCTATTTTAAAAACTAATAAGTTTGATTTTGCAGTTTTCGGTACCGCCTCGACTAGCATGGTTTCTGTTTGGTACCGCTGTCTTCCCTTCTGCTCTGCTTGCATTTTACGGCGCAAGTCTCGACTACAATTCAACAAATTTTTTGATCATTACTTTAATTATTATCCACTATGCATACAGGTATTCAGCAGATACTTGCTACGTCACACCAACTTTATTTTTGATTTCTTTTTTCAAAAAAGAAAAATAAAGCAACATCTTTAAAGGTAAAGAAAATGTATCATTTAAGGACTTTTATTTACGCTTACAAAATAAAAGGCGGTAAACGAATACCCCTTCATTTATTCGCTCTGGGATTCTGCAATAATTTTTTCCAAGGTTTTCTACAAAGTACCTGGCATTTTATGTTTGCCTATTATCCTGTCGACTGGCTAACCCATTTTAGTTCAATTATTGGTAAGCTCTTCTGCTGCTCAAGTACCAAGCATATTTGACAGACCAATTTGCTTACCATGGTTCAACAACTTGAGGTATTAATAGTAGAACCACCTTAATGACATCATGTAAATTTAGCAAATCCTTAACCTACAGACTGTTCTGCAAAATTTAAATTTTAGCTTTTTCTTTCCACTCACTAATAATGCCCAGCGGAACTGAATCACTGCAATTTTCAGGACTTCTATTATTCACTGGCGGAATGTTGATGCATATCAAATCAGACGGGATCCTTCAAAGGTTACGAAGACGAAATGAAAAAGGCTATAAAATACCTCGCGGTTTTCTTTTCGAATCAGTTACAGCACCAAACTACTTAGGAGAATGCTTGGAATGGGTTGGCTTTGCCATCTTTGCTTGGTCGCTGCCTGCATTTGCCCATGCTGCTTTCGTCATTTCACTGCTTCTACCAAGAGCTCTGCAGTACCACAGGTTATTAAACCTTCTTTTAATATGAACTGGGGCTGACTACGTCGAAATGACTCAACAATACTTCGTAATTATAGGTGGTACTTGGACAAATACGACGACTATCCAAAGGACAGAAAAGCAATTATTCCTCTGTTACTGTAATAAAGCTTTATTGTTTTATCAAGTTATTTCATATACTCAGACCCACAGTCAAGTTCCTGAACAAATCACGTCATACAAATGTCCTGTTTCTGACTGTCAGTCCTGATTAAATCTATAGTCCTCTTTGCTTCCTACTCTCCCCCTCAATCTCCACAAACCACTTTTAGAACCCACACTGGTTAAAAACCTCTTTTTAAAGAGCGTTTCTTTCAACGAAATATCTTTGTCCAATATTGCCTTGATCTCCTTTTGAAAAATTCATAAGTTCATAAAATCCAGATAATATTCAACCTTGTGGAACAACTACCTATACATCCACAGTATAGCTGTAGCTGTCATTGTTAGTCATCGCGTTCATACCAGGCGTCTTTAAAAACAGGATATTCCCCTTCACAAAGCAAACATTTTTATGGACAGTAGTACATTTCAGAATAAAAAATTTGCAAAACTTGGAGAAGTGGCTCAAAGGCTATTCAACAAAATGCAACTGCTAAACAATTCATTTCTAAAACGACACAACTAAATAGAACTCAGACTACATAAAATCCACTTTTGATCTTTAAACAAAAAAGAAAACTCGTAATTGTAAGGGAAAAAATAATTATTGAGTTTATCACAGTCAAAAAAAGAACAAAATACAAAGCATATTGCAACATAAAATCAATGAGTCAAAATTAATGCCTAATGACTTCCTTATGGCAACTTAGTGCTTATGTCAGTAATGAAACGAAACCAACGTTTCGTAAGAGGATAAAAATGTGCACTATGACACGATACTCCAATAAAAACAATTTGATGTTCGCAGCCAACACTAAATTACAAAAATATTCTGAAAGATGTTAATACAAATATTTAAAGTAGCACCAAACCTGTGTTAACACGGCCAAGGTACGGATGAAAGGCCTTTTGGTAAATAGAGTTAGACAGTAGAAGAAAACCGTTCAACACTAGACAGCGAAACAAAGTTTCGATAAAAGCTATGTGAACTATGACAAAAATTAACCTTAATCCTCAGAGGTAAGTTTAATTGACATTCAAGAATGTTTCAAAGACGCATATTATTTTTTCTGATCAATGGTCGAAATAAATCATTTTACTGAAGCTGTCCTAAGAATATTAGTTCTATCACCTCTACATAGAGGGCAATACCATTTACCTTTCGGTTTCGTTTTCAGTTGAACGCAACCAAAATGAAACCACTCCACAGGACACTTTTCATTATCACATCCAATCATATCACCAAAAGACACCTAAAAAAGCAGTATTTTCAGCGTTCTGGAAAAAAAAAATAAACATAAGAAGTTCAGTCAAAAGTTTAGTAATTAAGAAAAAGTAATGAGTAACTTTTCTAAAATCCATGAATTACAACCTAGTTTTCTTAGAACTACGCAAACACCACAAAATTCTTCACCTGTTTACACAAACAATACGTAGGCTCTTCATTAAGATTAACAGAAGCTATTTCACAATTGTCAGGTGTAGCTGCTTGTTTCTTGCGTGGTGGCTTCGTTAACCGTCCACTGCTACGTCGCTTTGAACTGGCGCTACTTTCTGAAGTGCTTTCCCGACGCTTATTTTTCCGTTTTGTACGCGAGTTCGACGGTATAGGTATCGGGGTCTAAAATGCAACAATCTAGCAATAATGAAGAAAATTACACAGTAAGGAAACAATTTAATTCTTTTCGAAAACCAAAACAAAGTTAAGATTGAAATTAAATCGGAAATTTTTTCAAGAAATTAAATAAGTACAGGTGAGTTCAAAATTCAATACGGAAAAGTTCTCATTCATTGAAATTATAAAAAATAAGAAAAGATAGGAGCAAAAAAAATGAAGATAGACCTGATTAGGTGTTGGGAATGTTGAGTTTCGATTCACATCTTTTGATTTTGGTTTCACTATACAGGGCGAAGAACGTTCCCGTTTTGAACGACGTACGCTCTCCTTAACGGCTGAAGCAGCAGTTTTTTTACATTTCCTCTTTGACTTAACCACAGTAGCTGAAAAGCATTTACATAGACAACTGCCAAAAACAAGAATTAAAGTAGATTTATTCGAAAACAGATAATAAGTAGAAAAGTTATAATAATAATAATAATAATAATAATAATAA